ATTCTAAGATTTATTTTCATATCAATTATTTGATATAAGAATAAATAACTACAAATATTTTTTTATCCAAACGTATTCCTTTGTTGTGATTATAAAAATATGCAGTGTTTGTTTTGGATTCTGTGGATTACTCGAAGATGAATTTCGGATTGCGACGAAATTTATTGCAGCGCGCCCACACAGTCGGAGTTAAGGTGGTGTAAAAAGCCGACTATTTTTTTTTCTTCGAGTCTTCTATTGAAATATATCAATTTCTTAAGCTTTAAGAGCCCTCCAAAAATTAGGTCTGATAATTTTTTTAAGGATCACTCAAGATTTTTAAAAAATCCAAAAATTGTCAAAGTTAAAGAAGCAACAAATTTTTTCGTTTGACAAAGGTAACAAAGACAAATACACAAATTATATATAGAATTACAAAAGATATGAAAAAATTAAATACTACATAGGTATTATTATTAAATTAACAAAGTAGGTATTATTAACGTAAGCACGTGATAACATGCTTACGAAGAAGTGAGAATATGTTGCTAGTACTGAGAAACATAAAATAGTAATAAGAATAAGTAAAATAATATAAATTCACGCCTATTTTCCAGAAGGGTGGGCAGAAATTATAGATGTTCACATGGCATAATCTTTGAATATCTCTTGTGCCGTCTCATGAGAAGCACGCTTGTCTATCCATAGCCGGGTCCCGATCCCTACGCTTATGTATGGTAGTCAAAGCCGGGTCTGGCAGAAGAAAAATGAAAGTAGGACCAATACAGTGGAGATGCGATCGCTGCGTAGTATGTGTGGAGTGTCTCGGAAAGATAGATGTAGAAACAGTGGCGTTATAGAGCGATGTAGGAAGATGTAGTTACTAGAGCATAAATACAAATTATCTTACTAAATTTGTATATCTTATTTAACTGTGTAAACTTGTATTTCGAAATACAATAACGTTCTACGCAATAAAATATATAGCTATTGCTACAAATATTTTCTGAATTTAAAACTTGAGAATTTGTTTATGGTTATGTAAAACCATAGCTTTGAGTTTTTTCTGATTATCAACATTACAAAAACGATGCCGGTTCCTTGTGATTAAGAAATTCTATCCAACTCCGGCATAATCGTTAGCAGCTTGCCGTTTGAAAAACGATTCGAAAGAATATTGATATAACTATTAGTGTGATTTAGTTTTAGAAGAACTGACCATTAAGGTTGAGGTTATTAATTTTAGATGCACATAAGCAAATCTAAGTGGCGGATTTACAAATAGTTCTAATTTTCTAATAAAAATGAAACTTTGATCAAATCCTGTTGATGGACCAAAGTTGCCTCTTCACGATATCACGGCTGATCCTTTCATGTTAATGGCTTAGACGCATATCATTTAGATGTTATTCAATCATATCTTGTGACATTATGAGCGGATCTCACGATATAACTAGAAGATAAATAACAAAATAGGTCAATTTTTAATGGAAAACCCGACGGGCTTGCTTCATATTTTTCACGAACACTATTTATAGCGCATAGTGACGAGCTTCTAAAAAGCTGAATAACAAAATATTAAAGGGTTCTATGAATAAGCCCCCTGTAGTGTCCTCGGCCCGATTGTATAAAGTTGCGAAAAGAATTCTGTGACGAATATTTCTAACAATTTTAATAAAAAATAAGTAAAGTGCACGTTTTTGTGTTTGTATAATTAAAGACCTCATTATTTTTCTTTTAAATTGTCACGTCATATCACTATTTAAAAAGTCGCGTCACGTCAATTAGGAAAACCCAGTTGGACAGTACATGAAGCCTATAAAAAGTAAAAGCAACTGACAGACTATAGCTCGCTGTACTCATACATAGATGCTCCAATTACTTATTAATTTGCACGTAATTAGTAAGCACAGTTTGGCATTTGATGTTCCAGCCTGTACTTCACTTTAAATGCATGAAGCGCATTTTTGCACGTTACATTCAAACAACTACTGTACAACAATTATTATCAGGTGATAATAACAATAATTAAATAAGAAATACAAAATAAGCATAATTTGTCTTGAACTGGAAATTTTTCAAACAAGCTATTACGAAATGGAACTGCATTAACTAAACAAATTTATAGAGAGCGTTGAGAATTTAGGAGATAAGTGGGTATCTCGTAAATTTTGAACGGTCTTTACAAATCTGAATAACTCAGTTTACAATGACATCGCATAAACTGTACACGTTCAACGATAGGATTAAATAACTGGTAGGTGTCTGTTTAATGAATATACAGATATGTGTCTATACGGGTTGATGATTAGCTTACGATTATTAAAAATTTAAACTTACGACCACATAAAAATATTTCAAAAAATTTTGTTCAAAATGATTCCTCTTCAAAATTTTTATAAAACTGTAAAGTAATATACAAAATTTGTATATTAGTTTTAAAATTTATGAATTTTTTCTTACACAAGAAAAGTCGAAAATATAAAATTTCGACTTTGAAAGCGAATAAACCTTATTATTCATTTGTGAAAAAAATCAATTACGGTTATTTACTATTTTATTTTCAAACATCTCTCAAATGACACTTTCCGTTAGAGGTTGAAAAATTTCTTCTTTCAACCGGTCACATAAGATACGTGCCTGTAGAGTTTCATAAGAATCGACGAAAAAATGGTGAGGTCATGAGGCTGTGGTGATATATGAACAACCGGACGGATGAACTGACATAATTAAATTATAGGAGTTTTGTTTTTTTTTTCTTTAATTACGGAACCCTGAAAAGACCACTGATCCAAAATAATGAAAAAAGGAAAGACGCAATTGATCACATTCATAGAGAAGTACTAATCGACAATTCGAGAGAAAAAAAAGTCACTACTGTGTTGGGAGATAGTTCGTATATTCGCTCTGTGAGTTGAGTGCGAATAAGTTAAAGTTAAATTATAATTTTAGCGAATAAACATTTTATATTATTGCATATATTTTTTCCTTTTTTTCATTATTTATATTTTTACATTTTAAAATATTACTAAATACATTAATATTCGCTACGAGCACTTGGTGGGGCTAAGAAACCGGTATGGAAGGCGATATGGAACAGATGTGAAGATTTTGGGACGTATTTTGTCAGATGAAGCAGATACATTTTGAGTGGATTTTCAATATTAATGTCAACAAAATAAGACACACAATTTATCCTAATAAACTGAAAATAACGGACAAATGAATCGTTCAACAAAGGTCGATTAACGCGAGAGGTCTCATAAGGATAAGACAAATGTCGAGGCCACGATTGAATTCGAGCCGAAGCACAGCTCCGAAAATATTAAATACATCTGTAGCTAACTTTTGTAAAAATGCTTTTGCTTTAAATTTGAATTTTTGATTTATTGCGAATTGCATGATTTGTTTTGTTTGTATACACTGATTGGGATATACTAAAGTTTATCATTCTGTGTAAGGCAAGATAAATTATAATAAATTCATAAATGTAGATAACATATATGAATTCATAATTTATCTTTACAGTAAATTCAGTAATTTTTCGGAAGCAAAAGAAAGCATTATTGTACTCTGTGTTAGTCCAATCGAGAAATTAATTCACACTGAAAATCACTATAGAGGTTTTTCGAGAGAGTTTTTTTCATTTCAGGTAGCTGATAGTGGAAATAATAATTGTTTGAGAAATTTTCCATAATAAGTCAAAATAATCAAACTAACTTCGCTATATTGAAAATAGCGACATCATTGTCGCTAAAAAATTGTTTTGCTGATATTTGTGTCATAGAAACAGAATTATTCATCAATAAAGATAATAATAAATATCTATATAAATAATCAATATTTTTCAATATCATATAAATATTGTTCTCGTACTTGTCCTTTGTACATGTATATTGTGTATTCTTATTAAAACTTAAAACTAAGTATGTATCCACCGGTTTGTAATTACAAGAAGAAGACAAGACATGACATAATAAGATAAAAAAAGAAAGAAGTAGGAAACTTCTTTCTTTTTCTATCTTTTTATATCATACTTAAATCTTTTACATTGATACCTAAGTGTTACTATCATTTAAATAACAGTAATTAACTATCATTTTGTTAATTACTGTTTTTAAAACTGTTATTTCGGTAATTCTACCTTGTGTTATTACTATATAATAAATTTATTAAAGAATCCAAAATATATGTGGACTTAATAAAGGTTTTCATTTATTTGTATAACAATAAAAGTACCTTAGCCTCCGTGGATACTGTGACGGAAAAGGGCTCGTAGTTATTCCGATGCCTAAACCTGTCTGATCCTCCTTGCATGGGCAGGGCTCCTGCGAATAGAAGGAAACACTATTTGTTGTTTTATTTGGTAAGCAATCAGTCAACTTGTTAAAAATACATTGCTAAATAACACAACTATTGTTATCAACGAAATGAATGTCTTAGGGGTTGTGATACATTAATAAAATGATTTATTAATCTGAAAGTATAGTAGAAACAGATTTAATATTAGTTAGTATTGAACATTTAATTATAAATCCCCCATCTTAATAATAACGGAAGCGCCTGAAATAACGAAGCACTTATGAAATGCTGTGAAGTTATTACGTACTTTGTAATTTATGAAGGAACTCAACGCTTTTATTAATAACTTTTAAGATTAACTCTTCAGATGCTCGTTATTTCCTAGTATCCCTACTTATGTTTATATTTATACTGATGCTATATATCGGTGAATTATTTAAAACAAAAGAAATTACAGACCGTGTGTAAGGTCTTTATAGTACCGAGTTTCAGCGGCACGTCCTCCCACAATCTCGTCATAGATTAGGGAACTTGGAACTTAAAACCTTAATACTAGGCCAGTGCCGCCTAGGATCTGTTGTTATTGGACCGAAGTTCCTTGTCGCATGTTGGCGCTCTCAGGCGCTCGGCGAATGGGAGCTATACGAAAAAAAGTGTAACCGCAACGAAAAATTCTGACCGTTGTTGCATTAGTTAACATTTTTATAAATGTGCTTGCTAACGTTCATACCACGTTAAATACACCGGTTCTCGTCCGATCGAAGTTAAGTAGTATCGGGCGCAGTCAGTACTACGATGGGTGACCGCATGGGAACAGCTTGATGTGGTTGTTTTTAGTGTTGCATTCTTTTTATGGTAATTTATAATAAATTGTGATTTATAATACAATGCCATTACCTATATATAATTCCCTTTTTTCCCTAAAATAATAAATGAAACTCTTGAAATGTTTTAGTTTTAGGGAATATAAAAATTTTAAATTTTCAGTAAATAAATACTTACATAAATATGTAAAACTAACGTCTATTGTTGATTTAATAATTATATAATTGTGAAAATTGACGAACTAAACAACATCTTTAATAAACAAAACAGATATCGCTGTTTAGTGCTTTTTTTTAAAATATTAATAATCACCAAAAAAATGCTTATTATCAATTTTAAAATTTATCTCACGGTTTATTAAATTTTATTGCCGATATTTATTTACATATAGTTACACCACATTGATGGATTGAAAGAACTATGTTATTTTACTTCAGGAAAAGAGGCCGAAGTGTACACGCGCAGAGAAAACGCATCTGTATGTAAGTAAGTAATATTCAATATTTATTGAGCGAGTAAAATGTTTTTGCATCAGTGCTAAATAATAGTTTTGGATTTCTTATGAGTTACTGCATCGAAAATGTGTCGTGGCGTGTTCTGCGTAAGCTACCGGGACGGGCTATTTCCTTGACGTGATATAAAATTTTATACGATTTGTCGTACTTGTTTAGCAGTCATGAAAATCGCCATCTGTTAGCTGTGCATGCGATCTTGGGAAAACTGAGCAACATCTGTAGCTTATCAAGCATGTTATGTTATAACAATATCGTGCATATGACAAATTTAAAGCTTTAATAACCAAAGTTTTCCGAGATAAAATTCTGTTTTTAAAAAACAGAATCTTAAAAATAAGGGTTAAAAGCAGTTGTACAAAATTGCATGCCTTCATAGGCACGAGATAAGCATTAAATAAGCTCATGCTTACTGAATTTGGACCTAGATACGGTCATTTTATGTTATTCGAAGAAAAGTTTTATAATAAACTATTTATAGAAATAAAATGCCAAAAGACTCAAATTCCGAATTATAGTTATCTTATTTCTATGGGCTTAGGAACATCGTCGGGGTATGACTGAGACAACTAAAGCCTCCAAATACGACAGACTTCATACATAATAAATAGTGTTTCAATAATCAGAAATCTAACTCGGAGATATCGTGTAGCAAATGGGTTTACGGTCTACACATGTTACCGATTGTTAACAATAAAATACATTAACATTAAATTCAAAAAGTGAAGTCGGTTAAAATATGTTTAGTAAAACTCGCACGACACCACAAACTACTTCGCACATATACTGACCATCGTATCTGACACCAACGAAAAAATTTCTCGGTGAAATAATTCGTAGGGAAGCCGTGGACACAGCAACTGGCCACCACAAGAACGATTAACGGCTTGAACATAGCCGAAGCGTTTTTTTTTTCACAAGAAATGGTTATTCGGTCAACAACCGTCAGCTACTAAACTACAGTTTCGCATAATCTCGATCTTGTTTTTAGAGTTTGATAAGACCGGACACTTGTGTCGATAACGTTTGTGTTGCGAGATAAAATTGAAATTCACTTTTGTAGCAGTTTCGCAACCGCGTGTGTGACGCATTATGCACGGCCAGAGAATGATTTATAGAGCTAAAAAAAATACAACCAAGTGCGAGCCACGCTCGCACGCTTAGAGCGCCGTACAGTTTAATATTTAATAATAAAGTTATATTATTAAATATTAAACTACGGTCGTATGTTACGAATTTTGCTATCAAATAAGTTCATCTTTTTTTTTTGCAAACATTTATAAGACTATTTTTTATTTATCCTATCATTTATACCAGAGTTATGCAGGTATAAGTTGAAAATTTATTAAAATTGAAAATAAGTACGGTTTAACTTCATCTATTGATCTATTGAAAGTCATTTTTCTGATGCAGCCAAGTCGACCGCATTATTGCTCTACGATATTAAAATTATTATATTTGATTAATTATTATATTTAAATAACTAACACATTTAAGTAATTATTATATTTAAATAATTATTATATTTAATTAAATACTACATTTTATTAATTATTATATTGAATTTATTAATAATATAATTATGAAGTAAGTTTCATAACAAAATTTATTAAATATTGTACAATGAAAAATAAAAATAGTCATAACAATTGGCCTAAAAATCACAGAAAGATTGTACTAGCAATAATTCATGAGTTATCCGAGAAGGTCATCTTTATCTGAAAAATGCTAGAGTGTGGGTAGGGTTTACATATGTGCTTACGTAAACGATAAAGAATGTGTATTGAATCTTTTTTTTATGTCTAAAACGTAAACCTGAAAAATAATCTGTCCAGTTTCAGAAACTCTATGCTATAATAAAAAGATAATTATAGTATAAAATTTTAGCGTTATACCACATCGACCTAAGCTTATGATCTAGTAAAAGGCCATTCGGCATCCAAAATGGACGTAGATTTCTCATATGAATTTTAGTGAATTTTAAAAGTTTAAATAGATTTTTATTTAAAATTTAAATTATTTTGTTGGCTAAATTTCTATTTTAACTTTAATTCGTCACTTTAAGGTTATTGAAACATATAAGCTTAAGTAAAAGTTAAATAAAAAAAAAATTGAAGTAAAAATAAAAATAACGAATTAATTGAAAGCTTGTTTCAGGCGAGGTAGCTTGAAACAAACTTTCTGAAACAAGCAAATATTATATATATATATATATATAATATTTGAATATTATATATATATATATATATATATATATAATATTTGAACCAATGCTATTTCCTGAACCTCTTCGGCCACAAATAATGTGACGAAATTTCTGCCAAAGTTCCGCCATGAGACCAAATATAAAAGTTAGATTTCTAAAAAAATCTACTAATAAGATCCATTGAAAATATCATAACATAATATAAGGTCCTATTAGGTATTTGAATCTAAAAAAAACTTCCATGGATCTATAATGATCTAAGGTACATTCAAACTGATCCATTGACTCCGTGAATATGAATCTGGGAACGCGCTATCAGTCGGACCGGTCGTTGTGTCCACACGCGCGACAATGGCCTTCTCAATCCGTATTGCCTACGAAAAGCGGTCTAGGCTTCGCTCACGGTTTCAGTCTGAATCAAAATGATTGTGCTCATATGTGCTGTTGCTTGAAAATATTTTACATCTCATTTTCGTTACTTTTTACTTAAATTTTAATACTTCTCGTCGTTTTTTAATTCTTAAATTTCATTATTTCAGAATCATGTAATTAATCGTTTATCCCTTAAATGATTAATTGAAGGGCCAGTGAAGAAACGGATTGCGATCAAAATCATGTTTTGTATTGACGACTCAATCTGTATACCACTGGCGACCGTCTAATAGAAGCCGGGTGCTGCCTTATAAATTCGTAGACCAGTCGAATAAAATGGTATAATAAATCACAAAAAATACAATATAAATAACATTATTAAAATGAATAACTAATAGTTTTACTGTGATCATATATAGTTACGTTAGACGGCGCATTGAGATTATTTTTGGAGACATTATGCAGTGAGTTACATAATTTAATTTTCCATAATTTTGTTTGGTAGATAGCGGTTCTTAACATTAAAGAAGCCATTAAAAAATTTAAAAAATGTTTAATGGGGTTTTTTGTATTCTCGCAAAGAAAATTGAAATCAAAAATTTTTGAAAAGTAAGGAAAAATATTATCGGTTCAATTTTTGAAAATCTAGTATTCAAGGGCTGTCGATGATTTGAGATCCTAATAAGCTTTTCTTACTGATGAGCGACTGTATATGCGTATGTGTGTATGCGCGTATACAATGTATATAAATGTATGCAAATCTTGAACGTCTTTTGATAAGTTGGGTAAGTAGAGGAATTTAAATGGTCAGTAACGTTGACTCGATACTTTAAATATACATGTAATCAACAGAAAACTTTTGGACAATTAATAGCATCGACTTAATATTTGTATACATAATTAGTTTTGGAAATAAAACGCAATTTTAAAAATATAATAATGCTATAGTCTGAACAGTCTCTCATAAGCAAAGTCATATTAACCCGTTAGATAACTTGCCGACAGAAATTTTACTTCAGAGATTATTTTAAATTTATTGTAACGGCGATTTTAGCACCGCCACGTAAGCCTGCATTTCCGATTTCCTTCACAGTCGCCTCGAAGTAGGGGTTCCTGCCGTGTGTGGGTAAATGATGGACATCGTCTCGATGTTCAGACGTACTTATTGCAGCACGGACTTCACTAGTGGCGGTCGGAGTGCAACTGCGTCAAATGCACTTTTTTTGTGCGGAAGGGTGGGGAAGGAGGAGAAAAACCCCTTGTGGGTCGTCCATGCGCCCGGGCACACGGGTGTGTCTGATACTCACGGACTAAAAACCTTCTGAACAACTTGGATCTGCAGTGGCGCAAGCAAAACGCTATGACGCCTTCATTTTAAAAACGTGGCCTTACGGCATGAAGATGCCATCGGCGCGTGACTGCCCTCTGGGTGCCCTTCTAGCGGCACCACGGCATAGGAGGTCACGTAAAGTTTACAGTACGGACTGAAACTTCGGAGGGGACTCCGGAAGGCGCGGGAAGCGCACCGGATTGATGACCTTTAACAGTCGTAATTATTTGGTTAGTCCCTACTCCTAGTCAGTAACCATCTTATTTAATTCTATTAATTTTTCCACCTCGACGGTGAGATCGTCGGGTGGATCTATCACGACATTCCGTGGTCTTTTACAGAAATGATGTGGAAGAGGTGACTCGTATGGAACGGCCTCAACTAAAAGGGATTCGGATGGTTACTCGCTACATCGAAGAAACGCTCTGATGCGTCCTTCATATATTTAAAAATAGTTGAAAGCTTTAGATACCAGTGAAGTTAAGAGTTTTTGACGTACCATGGTGCGTCAGCTGCTCTTCTACAAAATTTATTCTGCACTATTTGCAGATCATAAAGTCTATTAGGCCGTGCGTGAGCA